AGATAGGCCGAATGGTTCTTATCTGCCATCACATTCTATGTTTCTATACACATATATCTCAAGATACTTATAATTAAATCATATATATGCATTTTATATATATAATATATTATAAAATGATTTCATTATAGTATATCATACATAAATAGGAAAGAAGTGTGTATATATATATATATACATATATATATATACATACACACATATTATATGTGTGTGCATATATATATATATACAAGAACAAAGAAATATGCAGACCGTCTCAATTATATGAATGAAACTTACTGCATTGACTGGAAAAAATATATCTATGTATAGCGCGATGTTCCAAATATAGAACCTGGCTATTAGAAATAATGTGGTCAGAGACCCTAATTAAACAAAGTATATACAAGTGAACCTACAATCCTATGCCAGCCTTAGACTTAGCTACTGTATACTCCTATCCCTATAGCAGATTACAATAAAGCTTAATTATAAGGGGGAGTGAGGTTATCTTTTTTACTACCTCTTGATCTATACTACCCTGGGCTGGCATAGGATTGTAGGTTCACTTGTATATACTTTGTTTAATTAGGGTCTCTGACCATTATTTCTAATAGCCAGGTTCTATATTTGGAACATCGCGCTATACATAGATATATTTTTTCCAGTCAATGCAGTAAGTTTCATTCATATAATTGAGACGGTCTGCATATTTCTTTGTTCTTGTGTTTATATTTGGGGTTAAGCCCCTCTGAGACAGCTGGAGTCTCATACTGGTACGTTGGTCTCTGCGTGACCCCTGCAGCCACTGCCCCCCCTTTTGGGGAGGTTTTGAGGTGGTGGGTGCGGCGGCTATACAGGGACTTGGAACGTTGTGTTCCTTGCTCTCTTTTTTGCATATATATATATATATGTATGTAAACAAAACTATATATATATATATATATATATATATATATTATGAATTGAAATATATTTTTACAAAAAAACTAATAAAAACGCTAACTTTGACTAAGTGGCTACTACAAAAGACTGGAAATACCACATTTGGAATACCCAGGGTTATCTACATTTGAAAATAGTATGCCATGTTGGGGTTATTTCACATTCTTGGGCTACCATATGGTCTCAAAGGGCAACACAGACCCAGGAAACCAATCTGGCAAACTGAATTGGGCAAGCCCTATATTGACTCTGGAACACCATAAAACCTGTACATGGGGGGTATTGTTATACTTGGGAGACTTCGCTGAACACAAATATGAGTGTTTAAAACAGTAAAATGTATCTATAAAAACACACATATTAGGTAACTGCAGTACTATAAATAAAAAAAATAGAGGTGTTGCTACTCCCTATTACACATACATACATACATATATATATGTATGTCAGAAATAAATATGTTTTAATTAGTAAATAGGAACTGTACTAAAGCCCAATTCATTTGCAAAGCAACATTGAATCAAATGTTTTGAAGATATAGGGCATTTCTCAATGTTAATGAGCACATGCTGAAGGACAAACTATGAAAAGGATGGTTCAATAGAGGGGTTATTCATTTAAGTGTCAATTACCAGGGACTCACAGAGAATTTAACATGTTAGACAAAATAAACATTTAAAAGACCTTCAGACTTTTTCTGATTTGATTATTTTGGCCTAACATTTAAAATGTATTAATTCCATATTTTCATTATTAACCTAATACACATTGGGCGCTAGTAACATTCTACAATACATTTTACACTTCTCCCAGTATCGTAGAACACTTAGATTCATTATTTTTATGTAGCAGAAATAAAACAGAGGACTGAGCTCTGGATAATTGCGGTTATTGCCCTTTCAAACAGTGGACATGTATGTAACAATAGGGTTATATACTGTTACCATCACATATTGTCCCCTTTTTGACTAGGATTTGTCAGCTGTCAACAGTGTTTGTTCAGAGTATAAGCTGTGTAGATACTAAAATGTGATTTGGCTTGGCAGCTGTAATAACAGATTTTACCAGGGTCAGCACAAGTTACAAAGCACACCACTTAGCCTGATGTAGGTCACACTTGTATATGCTATAGGCTTCTCTTGTAAAAATGACATGGGATGCTAAAGGCAAAATCAATTCTAATTTTTAAAATGGAAAAACAAAATAATCTTCTTTGAACAACTACAATATAAGCAACAATTATGATTTATCACATGCTAACTATTCATAAAATGTGCATTATAATCCTTTATAATATATATATATATATATATATATATATATATCACAATTTTTCCCCACATAACCTTTTTTGTTTTTTGCTACCCAAGCAATACCAAGACTCAATAGCAAACCAGTGACCAACCTAATGCTGATGATTTGCATTTACAATGAAACAGCTGTCAATGAGTGGTTCACTGGTTTTGCATCTTTTCCTAAGTTGTGTTTCAAAGCTGTTGTATACAGCAAACACAGACTCAAAGGAATCCATGTTTAAAATGGAATGAGGCAAAAATGTGATTTTTTGTTGAACTAATTTGCATATGCTCACCCAGAATCATTTGCTGTAGTAACATCACTGCAAATTTGTGATTCCTGTTGGAAAAGCAAGTCTTGGCTAGTGTGCAGATTTTTGTTTAAAATTGTATTAACTATACATATATATATATATATATATTATATAAAAAAAAAACACTAAAGTCCTTGCACTGACCCAAATGTTTAACTGCCGAGTGCACAATGAGTCATAGCCAAGAATATAATATAGTAAAGGACGGCTTGCACTCACGGTCTTTTGGAGCTAAAAAATATTCCTTTCTTAGAAGTTATTCCATAAAATCATCAACGTTTCAGCCCTCGTTCGGGACTTTCCTCAGGATCAACCATCAATATATATAGAGAGAGAGAGAGAGAGATAGTGTATATTGGATTAGCCGTATTAGTCCAGTAGACTAATATGGCATCATATATGTATAAATTTGACTTTCTCACTTCTTCCGGTTGTATATAGAAATATGTATTAGGTAACTGCAGCTCTACAAAATTACAAATGTAATATATTTAGACGGCTGGAGAGGTGGTGATCATACCTAGGTTGCTCTTTGAATTAGGAACACTAGCTCCAGTTGGTTTAAATGTGAACTTTGAACTGTGTAATTTTTTAGAATAAAATTGAGACATGGCTGTTTTTGGGTTGTTGCTTTTTTTTTTGCCTATAGTCTATTTTTCATGTGACAGGTAGCAAATATGGTGATTGTATAGTATCTGAATTGTCAGAATTAGCTTACGATAACTTAAGTTTTTAAATGTATATTTTTACCCTTTTTTACTTTTCTCTATTGTCGATTTTTAACATCGTGATCTGAGTGGCATACCTAGGGTATGGTAGGTGCTGTTTGAAGGGCAGTTTGTTTTATTATTTAGCCCTGCAGCAGGCAAGCAGCCAGTTTCCCTTGGTGAAGTAGGATCAGAGCTGGCAGCATGAGGTTTGCACCTCTAGCACGCGCAGACCTCAGTAATGGCTCCCTTAAGGTCAGGTGCTCTCTAGTGAGTCATCATGCAGCTGGAGGATGTTCCAAGCTTGGACTCTGATCTGCTACCCTGCTTGACCATCAGGGACTCAGGACTCCTGAGTCCTGACTCCTCAGGGCCCCTGCTAGACTACCAGGTAATATGACCCATTTACTGGACCACCATGGTTCATAGCCCCCTTCCATAAAGAAATTCAAAAATGAGGGGGCTACACAAGGCAAGACCACACACATAACAAACAGCCAGCACACACACTGCATGAGGCCAACCCCCCTCCTCCCAACACACACATATTACATACAGCCAGGACACACCTATTACATACAGTCAGCATACACTACACACACTGCTAAATGCAGCCAGCCCCCTCCCACACACACATTATATAAAGCCAGCACATGAACACACATTACATACAGCCAGGGTGGGACTGGGAACTAAAAGCAGCCATGGAAAAAAGTTCTTTATCACCCCAGTGATGCGTCTCGCAAGCATAGTGTGCTGATACAGAGTTAGAAGAGATAACTAAAAATAAAAATGACTCCAATGTTTCAGTCCAACTACCTTGACATATTTAGGAAAGTTTGGTAATGGGACTGAAATGGTGAATGTATGTAATGCACGACTGTAAAAAATGACGTTATCGTGTTTATTTTGAAGTCCTGTGGGTGCTTCTTCACTTTAAATATGTTATTGTGCTGGAGTATGCACCTAGCAACAGGACTGGGCCAATATTTGCTCATTATATATGTTACATATTAATGACATTTCTCTGTGTATTATGCATATATAAATGTACAATAATATATGTGTAAATATTATAGGGATAAAGTATATATATATATAAATATATATATATATATATATATATATATAACTAATACACACATTAATATACATGTCATATATATATATATATATAGCCCCTATGTGTATCTCTTTCTACCGCCAGCCCCTCTGTGTGCCTCTTTGTCTCCCCCCAGCCTCTCTGTATGTGTTTTTCTCCCCCTCACTGCTCCTCGGTGTCCATGTCTCCCTCTACTAACCCTGTTTCTTTCTCCCCCTTCCCCTGTGTGTCTCTCTCCCCCTCTGCCTCTTTCTCCCCTTCCCCTGTGTGTCTCTCTCCTTTCTTCCCCTCCCCCTGTGTGTCTCTCCCTCTGTGTCTCTCTCTCCCCCACATCTCTCTTCCCCTCTGTCTCCTTCTCCATCCTGCACCATCTCTCTATTCCCCCTCTTTCTCCCCCTCTGTCTCTTTCTCCCTCCTTTCCCTGTGTCACTCTTTACTCTATTCTCCCACTGTCTCTTTCTTCCCTCTTCCCCTGTGTCTCTCTATTCCCGTTCTGTCTCTCCCCTCCCATTTAAAAAAAGAAGTCAGAGGGGGCCGGACACTTTCCACGCTAGTGCCGCCAGGCCAGGTGGCCCTCTAGCCAGTCCGGCGGCACACTCACTAATGCTGACAGCAGTGAGCGGTTAGCATAGGAGAACTGAAGGAGGGAGCTTGTCTCTCTATCGTGCTCCCTCACAGTTCCCACAATTCCCAGCACAGAATGATGTGGCTGTGCTGGGAATTGTGGGAACCGCGAGGGAGCATGATAGAGAGACATGCTATCTCCTTCAGTCCTATGCTGACAGATCGCTGCTGTCAGCATTGGTGAGTGTGTCGCCAGACTGGCTAGGCGGCCACCCGGCCCGGCGGCACCAGTGTGGAATGCAGCCGGCCCCCTCAGAGCGTGCCACCGGACCGGCAACCTGGTGGCATCTAGATGCACAGCCCCCTGGTGCCACGGCCCACTGGGAAATTTCCCGGTATCCCGGTGGGCCAGTCCGGCCCTGCATACAGCTGCTAGCACACACATTACATACAGCCAGCACACATCACATACATCAAGCACACCACAAATATATTACATACATCTTGTATTTTGATCTAAGACGTATACAGTTTTCATTGTAATATATATTGATACAAGAATTTGAGAAGGATACTAAAATAAGTTTTTATAAACTGCACTAATTACCTTGCTCCACCTAGTAGACAGCAAGTAGAGGGCACTTCTTGGATTATAGCACAGAAAACCTGTGCTAGAGCATCGCTGGACGTCCTCACGCTGTGTGAGGACCTCAAGCGTCACTAAATTCCCCATAGGAAAGCATTGAAAAGCATTTTCAACGCTTTCCTATGGAGAGCTCTAATGCGCATGCACGGCATTGCCGCACATGCGCATTAGGTCTCCCCGGCCGGCGGGCGGGATCAGTCTCGCACACTGGCCGATGTAATGAAGAGGAGGAGCAGCGGAAGAAGCAGCGATGCGGGACCTCTGGTAAGTCACTGAAGGGGTTTTCACCCATTCAGCAACCGGGGATGGGAGGTGGGAGGTGGGAGGGAGAGGGGACCTACAGTGCCAGGAAAACTAATTGTTTTCCTGGCACTGGAGAGTCCATTTAAAATACGGCAATGTCAATATCACCAAGATAATGAAGGAGAGGGGGAAGCTCGCTCAAAAAGGCAGTTACATACTTTGAAACTCTAAAAAAGATAGTTCATGACCTTGAAATCTCAATAATGTAGTCAAACCCTGTGACTAAAGATCAGATCTTTAGAATAAATAAAGCAGTAGATTATTACCATCATGTGATAGATAGAGGCTGAACCCAAGTGTTGTCCACAATGGCATATATATATATAAATATATATGTATATATATATATATGTACCATCTTGTGATACTTGCTTGGCAGATGCTTGCTATCATATGATAAATGCTTCTGTTTATCAACTGATTTTAGCTTCTTTGTAAAATAAAAATGACTTAAGAAATGGCTAAGCTTTTTTATAGCGCTGCCTAGATAAGGGAGCTATATAACAAAAGGCACAAAAAAAAAAGACTGCACAAGTATAAATCACCATTCTAAAATAGGGTTTTGTTCAATTACAAGACTCATCATCGGCAAGTAATAAATTATCAACAAAGATTCATAGAATTTGCTTAGAGGCTGCAAAATTACCAATTAAGCATTAATAATTGCTTTAATACAAGAAAAATTAATAATTTGCATTTTACATCCATTAAAAAAAAATATATAATCATTAGTAGTAACAAGTGATGAATACTAAATAGGTATTATGCTTTACACTAACCATGAAAATTTAAAGCACATAATTAAACATCTTGTTATAATTAGTCTAGCAATGCACACATTTGATTGACAAACAGAATATAATTACAAGGTTTAACCATTACAATTTATATAATTTATATCCCCTATGACAAAGCTGTTGTCGGACACTTTGTTTTATTGTCTGGCATTCACAGTACTCGCTTGTACTCACACAACACATTTAAGAGATTCATTATATATATATATATATATATATAATTATATATATATATAATGATACTAACAAACACAAAATTAAACAAATGTAAAGCCAATGGATTACTGAAATAGAGTTGAAAATTTCTATTTTTTATAAAAGTTTAAGATCTTTCTAGTTTATGCAGTATAAAGCGCTTATATAACTGCAGACGTGCCTTCTCCATTCTTTGTGGTTATATATGCAAACATCTCTGACAGTATCGTATCGGTTTCCTGTTGTCAGAACATCTGGTTTTACCCTTATATATACCGTAGTTAAAGGACCACTATAGTGCCAGGAAAACATACTCGTTTTCCTGGCACTATAGTGCCCTGAGGGTGCCCCCACCCTCAGGGTCCCCCTCTCGCCTGGCTCTGGGGAGAGGAAATGGGTAAAAATGTACCTTTCTCCAGCGCTGGGCGGGGAGCTCTCTGCCTCCGATCTTTCTCCGTTCCTCCCCGTCGGATGAATGCACACGCGCGGCAAGAGCTGCGCGCGCATTTAGCTGGTCGCATAGGAAAGCATTTACAATGCTTTCCTATGGACGCTTGCATGCTCTCACTGTGATTTTCACAGTGAGAATCACGCAAGCGCCTCTAGCAGCTGTCAATGAGACAGCCACTAGAGGAATTGAGGGCTGGATTAACCCATTTATAAACATAGCAGTTTCTCTGAAACTGCTATGTTTATAGAAAAATGGGTTAACCCTAGCTGGACCTGGCATCCAGACCACTTCATTAAGCTGAAGTGGTCTGGGTGCCTAGAGTGCTCCTTTACGGTTAGTGGGTTGGCAGTCATGCTCTCTTTAAAACTATCAATGCATCACAAAAAGAAAAAAAAAGTGTAAAATTAAAATATATTTTTATTTATTAAAAATGTAATGATACACAGAGGGGAAAAAGTAAAAGTCAGTGATTGAAACTTAACAACCCTACAGGCTGCACCATATACACTTACACTGCCTAAATGTTAGATGGGCAATCTATGGACCATGTTGATGCAGTGACTATGGTTCTATAAGACTGTGGAGCTCAAAGCATCTGTAGCTTGGCCCCATTCAATATAACGTATCCATACTTTCATTTCATTTCACTGGCTGTGCAGGTCAACAGACACATGCAGATACTGAATGACATTATGGCCAGGGTGACCAGATCCACCATGTTTACATTGACACATATAATTTTGTCATATTTATGAAAACGCATTTAAAAAGGTTGCCCTGTAGTATGTATAATTCATATTCTGCAGGATTCTTCATTGCCTAATTGCTTGATTGCAGGATTCTTCATTGCCTAATCACTTAATCGGATACACCTTTTTCTTAATTCAACATACTACCGGGCTACCCTTGTTATGTTCTGCCCATCAATATGTATATATGATATGTGTCCCAGGAAACATGGTGGTTCTGGTCACCCTGATTATTGTATGGGTGAAATTCAAATTCAAAAAAGTGAGTTGGTGCCAGGTTGCAGGTTCATCAATACTCCTGAATTTGTATAAGCAGTGTGACCAAGAACAGAGGGGTGGTATCCACTGCCTAATGGAAATATGGTCACTACATTAACACGCAGTGTTTATGGTACCTACACTGCTCCTTTAATTAAACAGCTTTGCGTCTGTGGTGCATAAAGGCTTTATATATCCCTTTAAGATTCTTGCAGCTGGACCATAAAGAACCAAAACAATCAATGCTCATTAGTCAACTTATAGTGAGAGGATATCCTGTTCTGATCTCTTTATACACAGTAACGTAGAATGATTTAAAAGGCGGTCACTTCCAGCTAGGAGTGTCTCAATACCATATCCTAGAATTTATGAGTACTGGTATCTATGCTGTAATTGGATTACTACAAGGTTTCCTTTTAGTAAAGGACATATTTTGGAAGCATATTTTGGCCAGTGCATGTGTTACCATATATTTAGATCTATGTATATTAAGTTTCTATTAAAAAGTTACAATATTGGTGAGAATACTTGAAGCATTTCCTGTAGTGCGCAATGGTTAAACGTAAAGAAATTGCCTTTTTAAAGGAATTTGAAATATATGTACATATTATTCATTGCAAACTGTTGATAATCACACAATTCCGAATAAATGTAACAGCAGTCTCCAGGTTGTGATACTGAAATAAAACACATCCCTAGCAGAAGGGAAACTTGTCAATGGAACAATCCATTATTGCTTTCCACAACATATCTCTGTGCAATGGAAGCAATCCTATGATCCATTAATCACAAAATGAAAAGAAATCTCATTGACTTATTTGAGGCTTCATTAAGTAGTGCAGCCACTGACACCATCCCAGAGTAATGAATTTCCTCACCCCAAATGAAGAGTCAGCACATCTTCAATACTGGAATCTACTTCACAGTTCACGGTCATGGTTATATGCCTGTGCTTCTAAGAACGCTGACAGGAAGCTTCCAGTGTCCATCCTGAGTTCTCTGTATAGAACTTTATTAATCACATTATTGGATAAAAACGCTTCCACAGTACAATGTCCAGGGCCACATTAATAATATATAGTGTGCATGACAATTACATCGAGCTTTGCAATGCACCATGGGAGTTGTAATTCTACAATATCTAAAACAATACATTTGGACACCCTGACTAATACTCTGCCTCGGAGATCAACCATCACATCAAGAAATTCCTGGGTACAAATTGTTTACAGGTTTTGCATTTCTGTAATGCTTTGCGCTCAATGTGATAATTTAAGAGAACACTGCATCACATTTTTTAATAGCTTAATAAAATCTTTACATTATAAGATGCCATCCAATTAATTTTTCTTTTTCTTCTATGTATTTCTATAATGTCAAAGAAATCACTTGCCAATCCATCACACTCCCCAATTTCTCATAGCAATCGTAATTTTCAGACTCTTAGTTATTTTACCTTTTTGTTGATTTTTATGGTGAATTACATAGTTACATAGACTGACAAAAGATATGCGCCCATCAAGCTCAGCCTTTCTCACATCTGTTTTTGCTGTTGAATCAACAAAGGCATAAAACATAGTTTGAAGTACTTTCCAATTTTGCAACAAACTAGGGAAAAGTCCATTGATCCATTCTTGGATCAAGAAGCAGTTACCTCACAGATGAAAAATTATATCCCTGAATATTGTATTTTTGTAAGTATTCATCCAGTTGCTGTTTAAACATCTGTATAGACTCCGATAAGACCACCTTTTCAGGCAAATAATTCCTCATCCCTATTGTTCTTACT